GCACAAATTGAGATGTCCTGCAGGGTTTTTTCGACCGTTCTTGAGTTTTGACAAAAGACTGATTTTTTCTGAACAAAGTCAACTTTTAGAGGCTTTGGAAAACTCAGGCTTCGGAATCAGTATTATTGTTTGAATCTCTTGAAACACTCCCTGACAATTTTTTCTAATCCATAAATTTGGTTTGTTTTGTTTGGAAATTGAATTCACAACATATCGTAATATGAACGTTTTGTTGTGTCATTTTAATTAAAAGTCCTTCCTCCTTGTTCTCTGTGTTACCTTTAACGTATTTGCAGTGCATCAACCAAAGAGCCTCTGCACACTTTAAGCCACTTTAGCTCATCAGAAAATCCTATAGTGTTAGAGGCCTTTTAAGTTACAAAATGGACTGTGGTACCTGTCAGCATTGCATACAGTGAAATTATTTCCATCATTCCATCAACCATTTTAGCAAGCAGAGTGCCACAATTTTGTCACTTTGATTTGCATTGTTTTTCCCGTCCTTTAGGCTCTCTGTGAAGCCCAGCGGCTCGCCATTAATGCGTAGAGAGCTGCATAAAAAGCCCCACTTGATGGAATTTGTGGCACTAAAAGACAATCGTGGCCATCGGTATGAATTCTCTCTGTGTTTTTTTTTCTTTCTAGGTCAGCTTCATTTGTATTTCTCAAAGACGGTGAACTTTAGGGGATGCTAGTAACATTTTGCAGCTTTTTAACGCCATGCAAAGCTGGCACAAGGAGCCATAAATTCACCACAAATTAGCAGTGTATCCGTATGGTATCTGAGAGAAAAGTGCCGTGTAAAAAGGAAAAAGGTATTTTACTTTTCTCCTTATCTTTCAGGGGACATTTGCGTGTCAGATTTGAATATAGTGTTTTTATCCAGTGACTTGCTCTGCACATTTACCACACATTTACCATGGTAACAGCTTTCAACAAGCATTTCATCAGGAGGAGAAACATCCTTGACTGTGGGTTTCTTTGGCCTTCATCTATATCTCAAGCATCATGCTTTTCACTGGTTCTATTCTTCAGATATTAATTAGGAGGAGCCGTTCACCCCCACTCACTATCTCTCATAACAGATACATTAACTTTTAGATGAATGATTGGCACCTCCATAATTAATCCATTAATGGCTGTTTACTTCTTTGTAGTTCTGATTATTCAATTTATGATGCATTGTGAACAAGCCTGCGGCTGGTGCTTTTAGAGTTCGGGGGTGTTGAACTGTAAATGTTCAATTGTGACGTTGGCTTGTACTTTCAAATGTGAAGTCTTGTGTTTTAGTCTGTTGAGTGTGCAGCCGTGAAGGAGAAGAGCAAATCATCCTTTACATCTTAGATCTTACAACTTAAGTAGATCCATTATTGCAAAGGTTGTGGAAAAAATGGGGTATTTTTCAACAGGTGGGGTTTCTTTTTCTTCGTCCTGGGTCAATTGTTTTGAACCTTACCTTTCTGTAACTGCATCGCTCATGCTCTCAGTCATTTTTATTTTGAACTGCAGCTTTGTCATCCTCTGTCTTTGGACTCTCTCATCGGATAAGGAAAAACTCCTTAACACCAAAAAAAATAGAAGAAAACTTCCAGAAGAGCAATGGAGAATGGGCAAAAGTGCAATACGTAGATGTGTAACAACACAATCAAATTAATACATCGTCAATCCTTTTAACAAAAATGATACATGTAATAAGAATAGAAAGGGAAGCGCACAGAAATTGCGACGCAAAAAATACAAGCCTTTAAGGCAGAATAGTCCGAGGCTACAGCCATAAATGTTCTATGAAAAGCCCCGGATGGTTGGAACCCTTCTACGCTCAGAGTAAACTCTCAGCAGCTCCTCCGGCAGCGTCTCACACTCTCCTCTCTTCAGGACAACAATGACTTACTGTGGTTACGGGCATCATCGTTGCCAGGTATCTGGCTCTTTACCTGCTCGATGCTCCGTTGTGCTCACTAGCTATCGTTGCTAACGTTGATCAGTGGCTGTCAACTAAACTACAGAGCGGTGACACTAAACCAAAACAGTGAAGGTGTGAGGTGCAAAACTAAAACACAATGAACGCACAACAACCTTGAAGACGCCATTCAGTTGATTTCATGAGTCAGAGCAAATTCAATGTAGTTTCAAAGTTCCTCAAAGGTTTTCTTTTTAGTGAATGTGTTTTACTTTCAAGGTTTCACTGACAAACACTTTCTGCTTCCATTTTGGCACAACACAGACATTATCAAACGTTCTGTTAAAGTTTATTCAAAATCAACGTGATGTAAAACAAGCCAAGGTCTTAACAGGACATTTTAAAAAAGTGTATCTGAGTGATGAGCAGATGAAAAACCTCCAGTGAAAGGACAATATGACATTCATGTAAACATAGCAGACTGTAATTAATATTTGGGAGGCAATGTAGCACTCAGTGTGGTAATTGTCTTTTTGTATATTCGATAATTATCTAGAAATTAGTAATACAAAAAGTAATTGCCTTTATAAGCACTTAAGTATCACTTAATATAATTATGCAGCAATTATTTCCACAAAGGCTACATTCCTGTCAAGACACAGTATTTGTAAGTAATTATCTGCTCATCATAATGTAACTGCGATATAATAATTAGTATACTCTCTAAGCTCCAAACACACCCAAATATAGCTGCTTAAGTACGTCTGCTCATCACCAACAGAATGAATGAGACGATGGAGAAGGAGGTGTTTGTGAGAGAATATGATTTCAAATATTAGGACTTGTATTGGATGTTGGATTGACCTTTTACAAACACATTATTGCATTACAACACCTGAGAAATATCTTAAAGATAATGTAAGATAAGCCTTTATTAGTCCCACAGCGGGGACATTTATATCAGAGAGCATCATTCCAGTCCTCACAAACCTCCACTGGCTGCCTTTTACCTCCCGAATTCAGTGTAAGGTCACAGCCCTGGAGAATAAACCTCTCTGGCTCCAATTTTGAGCTATCCCGTAGGACAATTTGACAAATCTTGAGAGAAAGATGTTCCTCAGAGATTTGACTGTGAGACAGGACCACCAACAGCTGGTTTAGAGCTTTAGCGTCCAAAGACAGGCGGGGACAATGTCCCCAAAAATCCCCAAATATGACGTAATAAAACCACACTTCAAATATTTGATTCCAGTCCTCCTGTATTCAGGGACATGGCATAGCTGTGAAGAGAATCTGCCTCTGCTACCACACCTTAGACACCACGGTCAATATTTGTATAACTTTGTTCTTGAGTTGTCACGTCAATGTAGGATCTTAAATTTAAAAAAGTGAACCAACTCTAAAGCCTCGTTCCAAACTGCATCCCCTTTCTCTGTAACTTCTTTACACAATCTCTTTTATATATCTTATATTGTGTCTTAACTTGAGAAAAGTGACTTTAGGCAGCATTTATTTCTGCAAATAACTGGAGTAACTGGAACGACGCAAACATCCCTTGTGTGTAGATCTCCTGTGTGTAGATCTCCTGTGTGTAGATCTCCTGTGTGTAGATCTCCTGTGTGTAGATCTCCAGTGTGTAGATCTCCAGTGTGTAGATCTCCAGTGTGTAGATCTCCTGTGTGTAGATCTCCTGTGTGTAGATCTCCAGTGTGTAGATCTCCTGTGTGTAGATCTCCTGTGTGTAGCTCTCCTGTGTGTAGATCTCCTGTGTGTAGATCTCCAGTGTGTAGATCGCCTGTGTGTAGATCTCCTGTGTGTAGATCTCCAGTGTGTAGATCGCCTGTGTGTAGATCTCCTGTGTGTAGATCTCCTGTGTGTAGATCTCCCGTGTGTAGATCTCCCGTGTGTAGATCTCCCGTGTGTAGATCTCCCGTGTGTAGATCGCCCGTGTGTAGATCGCCTGTGTGTAGATCTCCTGTGTGTAGATCGCCTGTGTGTAGATCTCCTGTGTGTAGATCTCCCGTGTGTAGATCTCCCGTGTGTAGATCGCCCGTGTGTAGATCGCCTGTGTGTAGATCTCCTGTGTGTAGATCTCCTGTGTGTAGATCTCCTGTGTGTAGATCTCCTGTGTGTAGATCTTTTGTAGATTTTTCTTTTTGCATTTTGCCGGTACACCCACATGAAATGCATGAATCACCTCCAGACCTTGCACCACAGTTACCCTTTCGTCACAGTGAAGTCAGCTCTCATTGAGCAGCAGCAGAGATGAAACCTTTAACAAGGAGGCATGTGGTCAGATAGAGGCTGAACCAACAGCACAGGGACACGGCGTCTTCACACATTCGTTGTGTGTCGTGTTCTGACCAAGTTTTGCCACAAAGAGGTTTACAACCAGCTTCTTGACTTCTTCCCCGGTGTCTTTGTGCTTTCTCGCCTCTCAGGTTTTCATGGAGTGCGGTTATACCCGACACCCAATTACTATTCAATTACTGTTCAATTACTATTACTGCTACTGTTACTGCTTTTACGATCATTATTATTCTATTATATCCAATGCTGTTGTTATTATTAGTATTATCAGTTTTCCATTATTATTTCTGCTATTATTAGTGCTACTGCTGCTATTACTACTCTTATTAATATTATTTTATATGAACAATATAGCAAATGAAATGTTTAAAAGGGTTCAAAGTGACAGAGTCGTTTCACCATTAGAGACGTTTAGCCTGTTTTAGCTCATCGTTTTGGTTTGTTTTCCTGCAACAGCATGGAGCATTTTTTAGCAACCAAGCTAAATACATTACCACATATACAATATTGATTTTAACATGAGCATAAACAATAAAATAGCATTACAGTATGTAGAATAATAGTATGTATACTCTTGAATATATCACCCTGTACTTCATCATTTAGTCTCTGCATTGTTTTCACTGTCAGGTGGAAACTTAACCTTTTTTAGTTCATTCATTCATTTAATGTTTTAAAGATTGAAGCGTGTATTCAGCCTGTAAGTCGATGCACCAAGTTTCACAAATCCATTCAGTTTTAAATTTGCTCATTCATTCGTCAAGACAAACCTTGCTCCTCCTCCCACCTTATCAGCAAGCGGATAGGACAAAAACAACTACAGGAGGGGGTGTGTGTGTGTTTACATGTGTGTGTGTGTGCGTATAATAGCAGTGAGACGGACGGAGAAGGGAAGACCACAGCAGCTTACTAAGTGATGATCTGCCTGCACTCACACGGCGAGCTCGTACGCTCTGATCTCTCCGCTTCTCATGTTCCCGCTCACCATTGATTCACCGTTGATTCACCGTCTCAAACACCTCTCTGCTTCACTCCTTCCACCGAATCTTCCATACATTTACTTTGGGAACATTTATTTAGTTCTGAGCGGAGGGATGAGAGGAGTCCCGTGGGATTGTTTTTGGCTGAGAGTAACAACAGCAGCAGCAGATGTTTCAAGATAATTGCCTATTTTTTTTTGGTAAACCTGAGGAAGGAAAAAGGAAGATTTTTTTTACATTTTCCCTTCTTGGTGGTCATTCAGATGATGAGGACGACTGCTGACATTTAAACACGGACAATGGAATAATAGCAACAGAAAAAGAAGACCTAAGCCAAGAAGACGGGGACTTTGATCATGAATGCCACGGAGCACAATGGATTGACCCTAGGCTACCACAACAGGAGCCAAACCTCAGGCATCTTGCCACTTAACAAAGACCCATCGGCCGAGGGGAAGGACTCATCAGCAGGATGCTACGAGCAGCTGCTGATTTCCACGGAGGTTTTCCTCACTCTGGGCATCGTCAGCCTGCTGGAGAACATCCTGGTGGTTGCTGCCATAGTCAAAAACAAGAACCTTCACTCGCCCATGTACTTCTTCATCTGCAGCCTCGCCGTTGCCGACATGCTCGTCAGTGTCTCCAACGCCTCCGAGACCATCGTCATAGCGCTCATTAACGGGGGCAACCTGACCATCCCCGTCACACTGATCAGAAACATGGACAACGTGTTTGACTCTATGATCTGCAGCTCCTTGCTGGCGTCCATTTGCAGCTTGCTGGCCATTGCCGTCGACCGCTACATCACCATCTTCTACGCGCTGCGATACCACAACATCGTCACCCTGCGAAGGGCGATGCTGGTCATCGGCAGCATCTGGACCGGCTGCACGGTGTCCGGCATCCTGTTCATCATCTACTCGGAGAGCACCACGGTGCTCATCTGCCTCATCATCATGTTCTTCACCATGCTGGTGCTCATGGCGTCGCTGTACGTCCACATGTTCCTGCTGGCGCGCTTGCACATGAAGCGGATCGCAGCGCTGCCGGGCAACGCGCCCATCCATCAGCGGGCCAACATGAAGGGCGCCATCACCCTCACCATCCTCCTCGGGGTGTTCGTGGTGTGCTGGGCGCCTTTCTTCCTCCACCTCATCCTCATGATCACCTGCCCCAGGAACCCCTACTGCACATGCTTCATGTCCCACTTCAACATGTACCTCATTCTCATCATGTGCAACTCCGTCATCGACCCCATCATCTACGCCTTTCGCAGCCAGGAGATGAGGAAAACCTTCAAAGAGCTTTTCTGCTGCTCACACGTGCTCCTGTGCGTGTGAGTGTCAGCAGAGCTTCAACTCTGAAAGCTACAATCAGCAATTAGAATGAAACTTGGCCGACAGGGACTTTGATCACTGTGGACTGGTGTAGCTTTGTTGTGCCCTGCGCTCAGGCTGTGCCCTACACTCGGCTGTAATGAGGGATAAGTAGGGCATTTGAGTTGCTGAAGAGGTGGGTTTACAGACACCTTGTAAAATACTATCGCTCTGTGGAAAAAATGCTATTTTGTTTGGTAGTTAACACCGGTCTAAAGTGCAATTTGAAGTAAAGATTATCAGCGTGTACTGATACATATACTCAAACATTTTTTCTTGTTTCCTGTCAAAGAAAATCTAAATCTCCATGATCACCGATCGTAAAGATCTTAATACACCTTATAACCTTGATTATGGAACTTAAATGTCACAGTGCGTCTACTCTGGATATCTAGCAAAGAGATGAACACAGTATATGACAGACGACCTCCATGTTTGAGAATGTAATCCACCTCGTAACAGAAACCATGAGAGTGCAAGCGGATATCCCTGGCATGTACTTATTGTGTGTTGCATTGCAATGAATACATCCTGCTTAACTAAAGTGGGTTTCTACCTTTTTCTGTTTCTAACTGTCTGACACACACAGAGGGAAACGAGGGAATTTAAAACAGACTACTTTGTAGAAAAGAGGTGTTGAATGTGATTTTTTTTTTCAACACTGAGATCAAACTAGATGCATCTGAAAACAAGAAAGAAATACCACAATTTCTCTTTGCTCAGTCACTGGGTGACATACAGTATTTACAGTGATGAGGGTAAATACTCAATATTCAGTCAGTCAGTATCTTCAGTACAGAATGTCCTGAACAACAAATGACAGAAAAAAGATGATGTATTTATGACTTTGAAATGGGGAAAATGGGGATTTCTCAGGCAAAAGATGGCACTTAATAAGCATTTCTGGTTTAAATGTTTAGTTTATTTTACCTACAGAAACTTTCCTCTAAAGTGTGTATTCCCAGTTTTTGGCTCCATGATGGCAGCTTTTTTACCCTACCTCATCAGGGATGCAGTGTTTGTGAACCGCTGCTTTCCCCTTTGAAGCAGAGCAGCCAAAAAGAGATTTCTATCCCAGGGATGAACAGAAAGCAGCTTCAGTGTTTGCAAATAGCTAGAAACACAATCTGACTCATCACATCTGTGGATTTCCATTCAAAGCTCCTGTGAATTTGTGGTTTGTGTCGATATTTGTGTAAATTTGCACACGTGGGTTGTTCTCACCCTCAGCATGTATGTATGACCATACAGAGATCTATTTTTCATCATATTTATGGCAAAAAACTGAATGTATTTTTATGTATGTGTTGTGTAACGTGTTGCTTTTATTCTTGCCTTAAATATGTTGCGCTGCGATGTGAAGAGCAACTTATCCTACGTGACAGTCTTTATATATTGGTAAGTGCTATTTTCAATATTGCCTTATTTATTTCTGTCTTTTTAGACTCAGAAGGGCATTTCGAAGCTCATACAATGCACAAGAAAACTGATGTACATGGGTGGCTCATTTTCTGTTAGCTTTGCCTGGAATTTGATAAATGTGTGCTGATATGAAGCCGTTTGTTTGACCAGTGTGTACTCTGTGAATCACTGCTGCAAAGTAACTTCAATAAATCATGCTGCCACCTCAGCAACAGCTCTGTTTGTCAGCTTCCCTGTGCTGTGCAGCCTTTAACCTTTACACAGCGACCACTTTGTTGACTTTTTGCTTTAACGGGAAAAAAACACAATTCCTCAAATTCACATGTCAAAACAACATCACATTACGAAAACAACTGGAGTCATATGAAACATGAAGATACAAATGAATGTATTATTATATAACATTCATACAAGCACAACTGCAACAAGAAGGGAGAAACTGAAGTTAAATAATACCGACAGGGTTTTCGATCAAGGTGAATAATTTAAACTGAAGTAAACAAACATTCGCTGCAGGCATTCAATAACACTTATTAGCATCTGTGTGACGAATAGACACTTATTTATTACGAATTTAATAAGATCTTAACACACTTTTAGAATGTAATGGCTTCATAGATATCAGACTAAACACTGGAATCTTTTTTATGAAGTACTCTGATGAAGGAACATCCTTTGTCATCAAATCCTAACGAGTTGCAAAAAAGGGATGTCGTCCTACATGAGGTGAACCGGATGGATTTATGAAAGAATTTGAAGGTTTTAGAAAAACGTACATGTTGTCCATATCTTTTATTCCTGCGATACATCCAAGCCGGCAAAAACATTATTATTATTCATTCCATGCTTGTAAAAAGCGAACGGTGAATGTTGCACAAAGCAGAATGAAATGTGAAAGCAGCATTTCAGTGTCTGCTGCTGTTTCCATTCATCTCAGACCGACAGCCTCAGTTTGGTCTCAGTCGTACAAAATACCATCTCCTTCCTTTTCCTTTCATTTCTTTATTTTCTAAATTTATTTTTGCCGAATCGCAATGAAACAAAATGCCTCATGGGTTTGCTCATCTTCATGGTTTCGCTGCCACACCTCATGCTTGCTGTTTAATCAACAACACAAACGTGTGTTTTTGGAGAGGCAGCCTCCTGTGTGATGTGGTGACCTCTCCTCTCCCCCGCCTCATGTGAGGTGGAGAAGGGGGAGAAAGCTCGGGCACATCGCTGTGGTCCAGTTTCTTTCCCCTCGATTGCTGCACGCTTCAATGCTGGCTCACTTTGCTCAGTTTCTAACTCAGACTTGTAGTCTCGCTCGCTGTTCCTGAACCGGAGAGGACGCAGCACGGAGCAATTTGCCCCTCCCATCCCATTAATATCCTTCGCCTTCACTTATGAGCTCGAGTACATCACAGTCATAATAGCCCTCCACACCGGTGTTGACAAATAATGAAGCCCGCCCGAAACAGAAATAGTAGTTACCGGGATGTAACTCCAGTTCTATGAGTACATATGTAGCCCTCTCGCTGTATGCCCGGCTGGTCGATGGCTTCTGCTTCGACGCTTGTCAAAAATTGTCATCAGCTTTTGCTTTTGAGCCAATTGACAGAAAAAAGTTTGGCAGAAGGGTTGACGGATTAGGCTTGGACCTATCAAATGTCATATTGCAAGTTAAGTTTATATATGACTGGAAAGTGTAATGTACTTATGTACCCTGTGCACCTCACTCTCAAAACCATTAGGGCCAGCAGCCCAGGGGTTACTACTTCAACATGTTACAGTCACTGTATAGCTTTTGATCCTCCTCTCCAAACCTATTTCGTCCACGATACGGACAAAATCTAAAAATCTCTATCAAGTACAAGATGGGGCTGTCGACCAGATGCTACCAAAGCTCTATCGAAAAACTACACAAAGATAAGGAAGGCACTTGAAAATAAAAAGGGACAGCAGACATGAAGCAGGAGAGCCGTGCGCTACATTCGAGTACCTAGAAACTGCATGTGGCCCATTTCTGCTTCTGTTTCTACGCAACGTGACCAATTTGAGATACGTGAAAAGTGTGTTCCACTCCTTCAAGTGTGACCTACACCGAAGCAGAAAAATCAAAAACCTTTACAGATGAAGGTCTTCCTACGGGCAGTCTGAGCATCCTACTTGACGGGAGGAAGACATTTTAAACAGCTGTAATCACGGGACGAACTGGTGAGCTGTCTCGATCATCGCTGCCTACAAGGACTTGACGGATATATTCGGGGTTTTATTCATGCCAGAATAAACGATCACAAAACAAGCCAATGCACTACGCTTATCTATCGGAGGTAAAGAGTGGGTATGCCAACAAGCTGATACTGTCCCCATCATTCATGTGTAACTTGGCCTGCAATCCGCCACCCCAAACGTGTTGCCTTGAGGATGTTTCTGAAAGGGGAGCGCTCGTTTTCCCTCATGTTGAGGATTAAAACAATAAGAACAATTAACAATGCCTGAACTGACGGAAATCCTGTGTGATAGGAAATACAGGTAACATATATTATTCTTATAGGTCTACATACGCAGGGCAGGACGAATCAATCGTCTCTAAGAGTTTGTGCCCAGAGGCCTCTCTGCAGTATGTGTGGGGTCGTTTTGTCCACAATTCTATAAAACACCATTGTACTAGAGAAGAAGGTTATAAAGGCTGTATAAGTGAGGCATGTGTAAAATGTGCGAGGCTCTACTGTGTTCAATAGAGGACTTTTCTATTATTTATCATTCTTCTCTACATCTGCAGTAACACAATACCTATAAAAGACAGTACAACGTGTTCCTCCAAGGTCTTTGCATGATAGCGTCACTGTGTTTTTACTCGACTCAAAGGGTGCAGAAATGAAGGCAACACAATATAATCTGTGACATAATCAACTCAAGAAAAGAATTTCAGTTTATAGACTTTTACACTCCAAACAAAGGGATCAATTCCAACAACATACATGTTATTATTTAATCTAAAGGAACAGAGAGAGCTGGAGCTCGATAAGAGGTGAACTTCAGTACGTGTTTTACACAGAAAGCTGATGAACTGGACGACAGAAAAGAATCTCACACATCACGCAGTTTCAACAATTCATTACGACAATACTTGATGCATGTCTAAAGCGACCCTGATGTGAATGAGAGGCAGCAGCTGGATCAGGAGGCAATATGAGTTGAAGCCGATGGAATGGACTCTGCATCGCTCGTGATGTCCTAAGTTGATTTCCCTATATACGTGGACTCAATGAACACAGTTGCAGCTCTGCTGTTTTTGTCAATTAATCCACGAAGTCTCTTTTTCCATTCATTGACTTATCTCTACATCCTTTTCTTTGGGCTTCCAAAACTCTCCTAAATCCTCGTTTCCCAGTGTCCGATAGCGACGTAATGCTTCGTCTCTCTGCTCCTCAGTCTGTGGTTTATCATCTTAAAGCCCGACTGCTGGTTTCTGCTGAATCCAATAAGCTGAAGTATCACCAACTCCAGCAGAGCCTCGCCCGAATGCCTCCCATGTTCCACCCACACACTCATTACTCCGCACGGCCAGCCAATCAGCAGATGCTCCCTAAAATGATCAATACTTTATTAGTAGAGAAGCGTCCTTCACACTTAATTTACAAGAGGAAAAGGTACTTTTTCCTCCAGCACTGCCACAATGTGTCCTTGCATGTGGCCTTCAGCTTTACCAAAGGCTCTCATTGGCTCTATCTGTCCTCACGCCGGCCTCCTGGGATTTGTGCACAGAGCCGCTTGCATCAAATTAGACAGTGTTGACTCTGCTCTTGCCATCCCCAGCCACGCCAAATAATGTTTGAATTTACACCCAAGTCAGGTCCTCTCTGTTAAGTTCAATTAATCCTGAAAAATGAATGCGCAGTCTCTCTTTTTGTAAAACAGCAATTTGCCACACTGCCAGGAGAAAATACTTGCCCTTAATTATCAAGCCCGAGAGGATGGAAGTATTATTTTATTAATATCCGGCATTCAATCTCAGCCATTTGTCAATTTGGATGACCTAAAGAACATATTAACTTACTGTGTAGTAAAACATCATTAAAACAGATTGATGTGCACATTGGAAGGCTTTTTATGCTGCGTAGCATTCCGAGCTCCAGGCTCTTCCTCAGACTTCGGACACCTGTTGCAAATAGTCAATCAAATATTAAATATTAGTAAGAAAACACATTGTATATTGAATTATATGCATTGATAGTACATGGAGGCTACAAATATAATGTCTCAAAAGTAAAGGTAAAGATAAGGGGATTGTGTTTATATATCTTTCTTGCATATTTGTGTATATTTGTGTATATGTTTCATGCATTTCTTGATATGTATTTGCAAAAAGAGGTAACGTGTATACGTTTAGTGACACAGCTGGAGGCCTTTCTGCAGTACTGAATTACGGGAGGTGCCTTTTTTTACTGGTGCGTGGCTTCATATTCCATCATCATCTTTATGTACCTTTCTCTACTTTTTAAATGTCATACTTGTAGCCTCGATATGCTATCGGTGCAAATATTTCATATACAACTTATTTTCTTGCTAATATTTCATATTTGATTGATTATTTGCAACAGGTGTGGTATGTCATCTGTGTTTGTGGGTATGACTCTTAAAGACTCTCAGAAGTCTGAGGAAAAGTCTGGTGCTTGAAACGTTGCACAGCAATAATAAAATCCCTCTAACTGGAGCTGGTGTGCAGATCTCTCTGTTTTGATGCTGTTAGATTTTTATCCAGCAGTAAACCAATTGGACACAGGATGTGCGTGTCTTTTTATAATGGTTAAACACATGCACATGTGGTGATTTTGCTCATTATTAACTAATATACTTGAATCTTGCAATGTACCAGTTCTTTTCCCCGACATGATGTTGATCTCGAGTGCATATTGTATAACTGCATCTGTTGTTCCCCTGGTGTGTAGGAGAGAATTGGAGCTTGTTTCTGCGTGTGCGTTAGAAAGGATGCTAATGGGTGTCAAAGTCACCATAACAACGCATGTCTCTGCAAAATGTAGGATTGGAAAACCTGCGAGTGCCCGCAGGAGTTCTTGTTTTTCTCAAAAATAACCAAGTTCTTTAACAGCACTCCTACAACTTTACACATCTGCATGAGCAAAAAGAATTATAGTCATTAGACCAAGCAGCAGGTAGCACATCTGTGTGTGAGAGGAGAGGGAAGATTCTAGCAGACCTGAAGCCATTTAAACAGGAGGAGTTGTATCTGCATGTAAAGAACTGATTGACCCCCCCTTGATGTTTCCTCTGGAGCTTGTGTAACTCCAAGCCTGCACAAGTATTCTACCAAGAAGAAACAAAC